ACCACTTCCAAGGAAAGCAGCAGGCGCGCAAATTACCCACTCTCAAAACGAGGAGGTAGTGACGAAGAATAACGATGTTAGTCTATTATAGGCTGACAATTGGAATGAAAACACTATAAAAAGGTTATTGATTAACAAATGGAGGGCAAGTCTGGTGCCAGCAGCCGCGGTAATTCCAGCTCCATTAGCGTAAGCTAAAATTGTTGCAGTTAAAAAGCTCATAGTTGAATTTCGGGTATTCGTTGCCAGTTAATTTAAATGATTATATTCGTTGACAGATCCTCATTTTGCTGGTTTGCTGTCAATGCTCTTTATCGGATGTCGTCAGTTGCCAGAACGTTTACTTTGAGAAAATTAGAGTGCTAAAAGCAGGCTAACGCCAGAATAAAATTGCATGGAATAATAAAATAAGAACTCGATTTTATTTTGTTAGTTTTAAGAATTGAGTTAATGATTAATAGGATCAGAGGGGGGCGTACGTACTGCAGTGTAAGAGATGAAATTCTTGGATCGCTACAGGACGAACAACTGCGAAAGCATTTGCCAAGAATGTTTTCATTAATCAAGAACGAAAGTTTGAGGTTCGAAGACGATTAGATACCGTCCTAGTTCAAACCATAAAGGTTGCCAACTGTCTTTTNCTTAAAGGAATTGACGGAAGGGCACACAAGAAGTGGAGCCTGTGGCCTAATTTGACTCAACACGGGAAAACTTACTTGGCCAGGACACTTTTAGGATTGACAGATTGAGAGCTCTTTCTTGATTAAGTGGGTGGTGGTGCATGGTCGTTCGTAGTTCGTGGAGCAATCTGTCTGATTAATTTCGATAACAAACGAGACTCCGGCTTACTAAAAGTTCGAAGGGACTTTTTACAACTTCTTAGCAGGATAAATGGTAGTTTAAGCCACACGAAATGGAGCAATAACAGGTCTGTGATGCTCTTAGATGCCCAAGGCTGCACGCGCGCTACACTGCACACCAAAGGAAATTCCCCTAAGATGCTGCTTATTTTAGAGCCTTTTCGTATAATATCACAAAATTATCACGTCGTTTTTGAAGAAGAGGAAACAAAATCATTTTAATTTGTTGAATTCTATCTCGCGTTACCACTTGGCACCTCTACAAAAGGATTTTAAAACCGCGCAAAACACCGTCTCAAATTTGACAGTAATAAACACAACGGTAAACAACTGTGTTAGAGAAATATGCCTTTTGAATTTATTTTAGTCTACACATGTAACATGTTTGGTTAGACGATGTACTGTAGAAATAGTTTTTCAATCAAAAGAGAGCATGATTAAAGTGAGATAGATAATGAGTTGCTCTGCAAAAAACCAGCTAATGACTCAGCACGGGACAGAACATTACCGCGAACGACAGTATCGCGAGCGACAGTACTGCGAGCGACAATACCGCCAATTATCAAAATTTGACGATCGATTTGCACGTCAGAATCGCTACGAACTTCCATCAGGGTTTCCCCTGACTTCATTCTATTCAGGTAAAGTTCACCATCTTTCGGGTCTCATTGCATATACTCTTGCTAAGCT